TAATAAAAAGTTAAAATAAACTAGATTAAAACTGTTAATTTGCAGCTAATTGTAGATGAGGAAGAAAGTGAAGGGGAGGGGGGGGGGGGGGGGGGACAAACAATATCTAATGTTTAGATAAAAATTCAACAGGCTTCCATCGGATTCCAAGTGTATCCGACAACTTCCCATCAGAATCCTGTACCAAGGATTCCGACGATTTCCGACAGGTTCCTGTCGGAAGTTGTCAGATCCATGTCGGAAAGCATGAGTTTATTTGATATTTTCTATCGGATCCGAGCCTGTGATTCTTCGACCTGGGTTGATATATGATCGCAGGTCATGTGTCAACAAAGTCTACCATGATTTGTTAACGAGAGGAGAAACATTAACAGGGCATCTATCACGGTCTGTGAGAGATCCAAATTTTTCGCTGTCATGGCTGAATGGTCACGTAGTCTGATACCTATTTGCAAGATATTTGGTTCCAATCTGGGTACCATTAGCTATGAAAAAACCTTAAGAAATTCACTAATGGCTGTTTATATCGAACCATGTCTCTGATAGCATGTTGATTATGTTGTAACATACAGCTGCTCTTGTGGTTAGTTAACATGTGTGAGGAGTTCAAGCAATTGAGTGCAAGAACTTCATGTCATGCTGGCTTTCTATCCAGAGTTATAGTTAGTATTCGTTGTTTTACCCTTATACTACAATACTTCTTTTAAATAGTGTTTCATGAACGAAATATTTCAAAGGATTTTCATCAATAAATTTGTATTAACATTATCTTTTTCTTCAAATGTCGATTGTATACTTTTTTTAATAATATTTGATAAGAACTCCTTAGACAAACAATCACTCCCCTTTTTCTTTCACTACTTTGAAAATGAAATGTGATAAAGATATTTTATTGTTTTACTTCTGATAAACTGTATTTTTCTCTTATCATTTCATTATAAATAAAGAATTGAAAAAAAAAACACCACAGATTATATAGACTCCCGGGTATCTTATTCTTCTTTTTACATATCTTCATTATTCTTTTCACTTTACATTAGAATGATGATAGTCGTGTTTCTGTTCTTCATTGTGGCTTGTTTTACACAACATATTCATGCTAATCGAACTGTTACCGTAAGCACAAATTATGGTGATGTAGTTGGATATGAGACTGATGTAGCTCGTATTTTCTATGGTATTCCATTTGCTCAACCACCTGTTAATGATTTAAGGTAATTATATTTGATAGTACTGATGTTAAATTTATTTAAATGTTTAATGTAGATGGCAGCATCCAGTACCTATAGGTAAATGGTCTCCTAATGTAATAAATGCTACAAAACCACCACCTGCTTGTCCACAACCACCATGTAAAGTTCCTCCCATTTTATGTCCTGCTGTAGTACGTTGTATTATAAAAAAAAATATGTAGATGATGTTACTTTTTATTTGTTTAGCTTTCTGAGGATTGTCTTTATTTAAATATTTTTACACCATTACCTACACAGTCTCTTCGATCAACGCCTTTACCTGTTATGATCTTTATTACTGGTGGTAATTTTCAATTTCTTGATGCTTCAGCACCTATTTATGAATCGGAACGTTTTGTTAACACAACAAATATTGTTCTTGTATTCATTCAATATCGACTCGGTAAACAGAAAAAAAACGAGATAACAATGTAACTATTTACTATTAAAATTAGGTATTCTTGGATTTTTGGCAACTGGTACTGGTCCAAATGATATCAAAGGTAACTTTGGTATACTCGATCAACGTTTAGCTATTGCATGGGTTAAAGCAAATATTGATGCATTTGGTGGAGATCCAAATGAAGTTAAAAAATCATTCTTTTATTTAAATATATTTAACTAATAATTTCTAAATAGATAACATTATTTGGTCAAAGTGCTGGTGGACAATCAACTGCTTTACATTATGTTACAAGTGATATGCAATCATTTTTTCAACGTGCCATTATTCAAAGTGCACCTTTAACAATTCCTTTTCGGTAACATATTAAAAATGAAATTAAATATATATGCATATCTAAATTTTGTATTATTTCTATAAAGAACATATTTAGAATATGTAACACCGACTGTTCTTCTTGCAGAACAACTTCATTGTGCTGTTGGTGATATTGCATGTTTTCGTCGTGCTTCATTTCAAGATATTGTTCGTGCTCAAGAAATTATAAATAATATGATCACTTCATTTAGAATTTTACTTTTCTTCGAACCATGGGTACCTGTTATTGATAATGTTATTGTAAATGGTCAACTTCTTGATCTTGTTCATAATACATCATTTCCACTTAAACAACTTATTATTGGTACATTAACTGAAGAAGCTCTTTTTTTTATTTATGAAGGATGGACACAACCATTGACGCCAACACTCTATGGTGAACTTATTGTAGGTACATTTCGTGAAAATGCAATTAAAGTTCTTATACGTTATCCACCTGATAGTCTATCTGATGTACGACCATTATTATCTCGTGTATCTACTCAATGGGCATTTGCGTGTTCAAATCGTATTTTTGCACGTAAAGCTGCATCATATTCTTATGTATTTGGTTATCCACTTGATTTTGACGGTTGGGGAAATGAAACATTTTGTAATGGACATGTTTGTCATGGTGCTGAATTACCATTTTTATTTGAATCATCATGGGATAATTTTACTGATGCTGGACGACGTATATCTCAAAGTATGGCAACTTATTGGACAAATTTTGCTACAAGTCAAGATCCAAATGAACCTGTACGTGTATCAACTCCATGGCCAAGAGTAACTACTGGAAATGAAAAATATATGTATTTTCAAAATCCATTACAAGTTCAAGAAAACTATTTGAAAGATGATTGTGATTTTTGGGATAAAATTGGATATAAGGAAGTTCTTTTTTGAATTTAATAAATAAATAAATAAGTAAAATAGTTAAGAATTTTCTTTTTGCTTTCGATTTATTTCGAATATTCTATATTCATTCATTGAAATATTGAATATGTTTAAATATAAAATTTATTTAATAATGTAAATTATTATCAGAAACAATTCTTTTATCTTTATTTATATTAAATTGAAATCAATCTAAGTGAGTTTAACCGTTACCGGCATGACACAAAAATAAATATATGATTGTTCAAAAGTTTTTCAATGTTCCAAATGAATTTCTGAAGATATTACTGTTTGATGTCATGGCAATAAGCTTCCAACCATTTTTTTTCTCTTTTTTCATTTCAAAATTTCTCGAAATTAAGTAAGCCTTTTTTTCAGAGTTCATTAAAAAATCCAGCTGTCACCAATCAATCCATTGACTTACATCTCTAATCTTACCAATAAATATATTTTTCATTTTCAGTAATTAATACACATTGATTTAGTTGAATCTTGACGTGTAGCCTTAGTCAACACGAGTCAAATCTATTTGATAGTTCAAGTCCATCACTATAGTTTGTATCAACAACTATAGATTAATTAGTATATCTGTTTTGATTGAAACAAATAAGAATAGTAAGCAAAAATAAAGACATTCTCATTTTTGTGAAAGATAAAAACCTTGAAATGAGATAATAGTATATTGTTGGAGCCGTTCTCTATTATATTTATTTAAGTGGATATTGATAACAGAAAACAAGATTCATTGGTGTTAACATTACGGTTATCATAAACTTCACGGGATATATCTACGTACGGGTAAAGAAAAATGTAGCTGAAACTGTTATATAATATATATTTTTCTTTTTTCATGAAATATCAGGGAATTATATCATCTCTACTTATTGGCAACTAGAATAAGAATAGTGAAACATCATGCACTTTTTATCGAAGATTACTTGCATTATAATCGAATATTTCTCAATAATAAATGCTTGAATAGCTTCCAGTAGAAAAAAAATTATAAAATATCTTTCAATGGAAGCATTTATATATGTTTTCTGACCTGTCAACAGAGGAATCGACTTGAATCCTATGGAAACCTGCTATTGTTTGTTTTCACAATGGAGCAATTATTTTGTACAAGACACCGTCTCAAAAAAAAACAAACTAAAAGTTTCTTCTCAGCTATGTTTTAGCTTCATTTTTATTGTGTTGGTTCTAAGCGTGAACTTCATCTTTATTGCAGTCATGTTATGATTTTCATTTTATTCATTGTTTTTTCTATTTTTACTTATAGAACTTGAAAAAACATGAACTGCCTTTTCATCATGATCAATAGAGTCTCATGATGATTAATGTTTTTGATCTTCTCGATTTTATCAATTAATATCATATGTCGTATTTTAACACGCGTGTTTTAACTTCAGGTTATATCGCCCGATTGGTATGCGATGTGTCTTCAATCTTTATCATAATTCACAATATTGAGGCTTAACTTTCCTTATGTCTAATGATACTCTGCTTTGCAACAGGTACTACTGGTATATTGTACTCGTCTTCATCCATGCATGTGTGAATACATTTAACTACGCTGCACTCCTGTGCCATCCTTCATGTTGTACATCGAACGTCTCTATTGAAACTATTGAGTGGATATGAAGTATTTTCTGATAGTATTCAATTTAATGAACGAATACTGGTCCAGGTTATGATAGAAAAAAGACAACTACACAGACACAACATATGAAGACATTTAAGCAGTTTATTTGTCAAGATAAGATTTTGCTACCATATGAATTACTTTTCAATGGAGATGATTACTTTTCAACAATATATTGCATATGTACAAGATAAATTGCTATTTAATAATAAAAAAACATCTCTTTTTTCGCGCACATAGATATTATTAATTCTTCTCTTCTAAGTTTATAGAAATGATTTCTAAATATCTTTATGTTCTGTTTGTTTATATTATATTTGTTTTCTTTTTTCATAAAATTTCATCAGTCAAGCTGAAATTTTTATTTACAACAGAAGCTAATGTTATAAAATGTTCTACACATGAATATCTGATTTTTGACGATTGGCATAAATTTATTCGATGGAATATATCATGTCTAAATCAGACTATGTTATTTGAAACTAATCCTCCTCATTTAATCGAAGAAACTATGTTTGAAGTTGCTTGTTTTGAGAGCAATACAACATTGAATCCTTTTGTTAAGTTGAATTATACAATGACGAAAAAGGGAAAGATGAAAAATCCATGTGAACCAAGTTTAATTAAAAAATCTTCATTAGATGATTTGACTGGCACAATTAATAATACATATCATCAATATTCATTCAATGCTAAATGTATCGATTCTCAAGTATTTATTGATTTAGGTTCGCTAAATTTTTCATCTACATTTAATGAAATACATACCATATATACAATATTTAACAAACAACCAGTCATTTGTCGATTTATATTCAATCAAAGTGAACTTGTAAGAAATAAAACATGTTTACAGAATGCCACCTTGATAGTGGCAAAGTTGTGTTATTATGACCCTCAATTCGAAAAATTATTGAACGTAGTTAATTGGAATCTATTAGAAAATTTTTTTGCGAATCTCTCTTATGCTCCATCAGGTTGGCAAGCAAAAAATGGATACTATTATAATGATAAATTAACAACGACCACTACTACTACTACTACTTCGGTAAGTTTTTTTTTCATATTTTACATATCAAAAGGCTTCTGAATACTCTTTATGAGATAGATAAGCAACATTTTATCTTTTCTTATTTAGTAGATTACGTTCATGAAACATTTCACGAAGTTTTCAGATGATTAAGCTTTCGTGTAGTGCTTTATTGCATCATTATTGATGACGTTTTGAAGAAAACATATTTTGTCTAGAAACTCATTTGTATTTTAAAGAGGTTTTAGTCAATCAAATCAATAAATGCATCATAAATCCGATATTGTCTATTCTTCGTCATATATCGCTGATTAAAATCTAAAAATTCTGAGTAATCAATACTAAACCTGATCACTTTTGACTTTAAGAACGTAAGAATTTATGGATTTTTTTTTAAAATTAAATCTATTGAACACAATTTCTTTGATTCTATTTATAAATAATAAATTACATACATTTTTCTTTCATGTATAAAAGACTATTATAATCTCTTCTTTGAAGCCAACATCTTTACCTGATAGCACCAAGAATATAACTTCATCCAACACTGGCGAAGTAACAATATTTTCAACGGTTAGTACTACAATACCTACAACTTCTGTTACGGAAATCGATAGCACGAGAGATATAACTTCATTCGGTAATAGTGATGTAACAACATTGTCCACAATTAGTACTTCATTATCAACTACTATTTTGATCGAGTTCGATACTACAATATTATCAATCAGGAGTAATAGTCCAACACTACTAGCCACGTCTATTATCAGGGACACTCCGACATCATCAAGTGAAAGTAGTACACCAAGTATAACTACGTCTATACAGAGTAGCGAAATTGTATCTTCAACTATTACAACTACAAATGCTGACCATATTTTGGATACTACCTTCGAAACAATATCCACAACATTTTTGGGAAGAAGTACAACATCTTATATCAATGTAAAAAATAACAAAACATCGAAAAAAAGCTCGAAAACATCAAAAAAATCGAAAACTAGTGCTTCAACAACATCTGTAACACCTTTAAATAGACTTCCTTCAAATAAAAAATCATCATCTCGTAACAAATATATTATATTTCTCCTTTTTATCATTGGCATTATTGCACTGATGTCATTTCTTCTTTATTATTATCAACACAATCGAAATAGTGATATTAAATCAGTGTTAGATCGTAATGATAGTGATGAATCGTATGATTCAGTGGCGACACAATCTGAAATGGATTCATCAAATGAGTATGATAAAGAAACGATGTCTACACATGCTATATCAGAATTATCAATACCTGTGAAACAGCAAGAACAATCAAAGAAATCTAGGAAACAGAACACTGGACGCATTTTTAGTACGCTAGATCCAGATGCTCTTTAAACTATGACAAGATGTGACTGTTAAATTATTACGATACTTTTTAAAATTTTTATTTAGATTACGTACATTTCATTCTGTATTCACATACATAAAAGAAAAACATGGTATTCCCTTGTCATGCTTGATGTCTCTTCCTACTAAATTTATTATAAAACCCGTCAGTTTCACAATTCAACTTTCCATTGTTGAAGAAGACTTCTTGAAACAAAATAAAAATAAGTACTTCCACAATTTTAAAGAATACATAGATAAAAACACGATGACTTCTACTATTGATTCTTCTTGCTCTGTTCATGCGTAATAGTGAGTTAGAAACAACAAGAAAATACTGACAACTGGATGATTTTGATATTCTGTATCATTATCAAATATGAGCCGAAAAGGAAGCATCAATAATTAATGTCATGGTTTTTTCATCAGTTTGAGTTAAATGGAAGCCCGATATTTTCTTCTGTGTTTTTTTCATTATGCAATACACGGTGTGAAATTATAATTAACTTCAGTTAATTGGAAGATAACAGGTTGATTCAATCTTTCAACTGACTAATTAATAAAGGTAACAATCAATCAGATGTGACTTATGGATTCTCCAAAAAGGGATACTTCAATGTAGGTAGACACAACTTCAACACTAAAGTCATTAGATTATTTGCTTTCTGTTTTGTAACATCATATGTGTATCAACACTTATTAAAAAACATGAAATGGTTATCAAGTAATTAAAAATACATGAAAAAGATTTATGATATGGTAGAAGATTCACGATGCGAGAATTTAATATTCCACATTTAACTACTATAGTGTTATAAATGATTTCATAAGAGTTTGCAGCGCGAGTAGAAAGTGTTAGCTTTTACTTTTTGAATAATTGATTTATTTGATGGAATAGACAACAATGTTTTTATTCTTAAAAGAACTTACTTTAGTGTCTGTTTCTATCTGTATAAAAACTTCAACAATGCGATTTTTAAAAGATATCACTTTACAACAGTCTAAAAATTTCTTTTCTGTGCTGTTTTAGCTTCGTTTTGATTGCGTTGGTCCTGAGCATGAACTTCATATTTATTACAATCATGTGATGTTCGTCATTTTATTCCCTGCCTTTTTTTTGTTTTCACGTATAGAACTTTGCAAAACATGAACTTATTTTTCATCAGATCAATAGCATCTCATCTTGACTAGTATCTTTATATTGTTCTTGATTCTATCAATTATTACTATACATCGTATTTGTATTCCTATATGTACAAATACTTATGTCTATCTTTGTAGCAATCCGTTTAACTTTTGTTTCGCAAGTTTTTTATATATTGACTTTTTAGCGTTTCCTTACAGCATATTTGATTCATATTTCTGAACAATATATTTCATATGCACAAGATGACATAGTTTTTCATAATAAAAAAAAAAACATTATGTTTTCGCGCACACATACATTAATGATTCTTCTGTTCTGAGTTTCAAAATGATTTCTAAATATCTTTATGTTCTGTTTGTTCATGTTATTTATATTTTCTCTTTTCATAAAACTTCTTCAGTGAAACTGAAATTTTTATTTGCAACAGCTAGCAATATATTAAGGTGTTCTACACACGAATATCTCATTTTCAATGATTGGCATAGCATTTCTCGATTGAATATATCATGTCCAAATCAGACTATGTTATTTGAAACTAATCCTATTAATACAATCGAAGAAACTACTTTTCACACTGTTTGTATTCAGAAAAATATGACATTGAATCTTTTTTTTAAGTCGAATTATACAATGATGAAAAACAATAAAACAAAAAATCTATGTAAACCAAGCACACTAGGGTTATATCCATCACCCGATTTGAATGGCACGATTAATAATACATATCATCAATATTCATTCAATGCCAAGTGTGTCGATTCCCAAATATTTATTAATCTAGGTTCGCAAAGTTTTTCATCAATAAGTGATGAAACTCGAACATTATATATGAAATTTGATACTCAACCAGTTATTTGTCGGTTTCAATTCAATCAAAGTGGACTTGTAAGAAATAAAACATGTTTACACCACCTCTTTGCAATTGTGACAAGGTTGTGTTATTATGATCCTCAAGTTACATCTTCACTAACAAAAGTTGATTGGAACCTATTAGACAAGTTTTTTGTGAATCCACCTTATGCTCCATCAGATTGGCAAGCAAATAATGGATACTATTTTAATGATGAATTACTAACGACGATTACTACTATACCAGTAAGTCTTTATTTTTTTACTTTACATATCAAAAGACTTAAAAAATACATTTTACGAGATAGATAATAGATATTAGACTTGAACAGTTTTGTCATGAAGAAGATTAAAATGAATAGATATATTTTTTTTAATTTAAATCGATTTGATAGAACTCATTTGATTCTATCTATAAATAAAAAATTACAAACATTTTTCTTTGATTTACAAAAGACTACTATAATCTCTTCTTTGAAGTCAACATCTTTATCTGATAGCACCGAGAATACAACTTCATTCAATAGTAGTTATATAACAATATTGTCCACGATTAGTACTACACCTTCAACTACTACTTTTACAAAGTTTCATACTACAGTTTTGTCAACCAGTAATAATAGTCCAGCAATAGCCACGTCTATTATCAGCGACATTTTTACATCATCGCTTGACATGAGTGCATCAGTTATAACTACGTCGATAGACACTCACGAAATTATAGCTTCAACGATTACAGCTACAAATGCTGACAATATTTTGGGTGATATCTTCGAAACAAGATCCACAACACGCTTGAGTACAAGTACAACATCTAAGAAAAGCTCTAAAACTTCAAAACCATGGAAAACTGTTATATCAACAACATCTGTAATATCTTTCAATAGGCTTTCTCCAACAGAAAAATCATCATCTTATATTAAATATCTTATACTTCTATTTTTGATAATTGGTATTATTGTATTGATCTTATGTCTTCTTTATCTTTATCGACACAATCGAAATAGCGACAATGAATCATTGTCAGATAGGGATGATAGTGATGAATTGTATAATTCAGTGAAGACACAAATAGAACTGGATTCATCAAATGAATCTGTTGAAGAAACTGTGTCTACACATGCAGTACCGGAACTATCAATACCCGTACAACAGCAAGAACAATCAAAAATATCTAGAAAACAGACTAGTGGACTCTTTTTTAGTAAACTAGATCCAGATATTCTTTAGAATATGACAAGATATTATTCTTAAGTTATAACGATATATTACTTGATTTGGATTGCGTACATCTCATCCAAATAGCTCAATTTTAGAATATAATGTTTCATTGCTGAAAAGAACTTCTTCGGTCTAAGTTGAAGTATATGTATCTACAATTTAAAATTATAAATAGATAAAAGCACAATGACTTTTACTATTAATTTCTCCTGTTTACTAGATTCTTAATAGGAATATGAAAACAAGACGACAATGATAACAACTTGATGACTTTCATATTGTGTATCACTATCAAATATGGACTGAAAAAGGAAGAACCAATAATCTATGTTTTTGTTTTTTTATCTAATAGATACATTTATTTTAATTTTGTCTGATGAAGTTTACTTCAACCACTTAAAGTTAGATTGTAGTCAAGAATTTAGTCTATAGTAAAGTTATTAGGAAATGATTTTAAATAGAATAGACATATAAAATACATTTTTCAATGATTCTTATCAGTTATTGAAATCCAATGTATGGTACTTCAAAGTGAAGATGAATGTTTAACTTCGAAATATAGTTATATATTCCAAGATTTTCTTTTAGAAAATGAGAAAAGGATGCTCAATTCGATTTATAAAAGATATAAGATAACCATTACTATGGTCAAAGACACTTTCGACTGTAAAATACAATTGTTCTTTCAAACAGCTATTCTTAAAATTTTATCTTTTTCTTTTTGAATCATGACTATCTAACATGAATAATATGATTGTTCCTAACTATACAAACAATTCATATTTTGTAGAGGTAAACTATATTACGAATCGTTTATGATTAATTAGAACCCTATACACTTTACAAAAAATCTCTGAACAATAAAACAAAATCGTTTTTAAACACATGATTTATTTATCTATCTTGAAAATTTAGTATAGTTTAAGAAAATGTTAAATACATTGCATGCATATATGAAAAGTTTGAAAATTTTGAACATTCACAGTAGTTATTTCTTTGTATGAGATGTATTCGAAGTCACATCATTTGATAACTATGATAATAAATATTGAAAAAATGAAACAGAACTGAGAAAAAGAAATAAATTATTTTCTTACTCGACGTGATGAAGTTGATGATGATTGACGATGTCTTGATATTGATGATCGTGATATACTAACTCGTGATCCATCGGGATTCATACGATATGATCTTCTCGGGACCTTTGTTAGTTTTTCATTCATAATTGATGGAGTTAATTGTTGAGGATCAGTTTGATCATTTGTTAATTGAGATGATTGAGAAATATCTACTGATTTATTATAAATAGCATTTTTATTAGAATAATCTTCAATAATAATAGTAGGAAGAGGATGAGAAGGAAGAACTAAACAATAGATATTTAAGCGTTATTTTTAATAATCAACAAATAATTAAATACCTTCATTAGATATTGCTTTTGTTACTATATGAATATTTTCATGTTCATTTGATTCATCTTGAGCAAGTAAACAACTCATGACAGTATCACTAAGACCTTCACTTGTATGTTCAGATCGTTGAGATAATCCATGATTTGGTGAAGAAGATTTATCTGATATTTGATGTGTTGATTGAATAATAAGTGATTCATCCTCGATAATAGTTGCTAATGCTGATGGTGCTGGTCGATTACTTAATGTACAAAAAAAAACACAAAAGCATAAGAAGAATCCCTTTCGAACAACTTTATCCTGTATTTTTTCGAGCTGTACTTTTTTTGAATGACAATTATGTTCATACCGAAGTGCAAAGTTTCTTTTCTTTCACATATATTATTCTTAGAGCTCAGGAGAATCAAAATATTTGAAGTATCGTCAAAAAAAGGTGTTTTTTTTCCAATGGTGCTAATTTTTTAAAGGCTACCAAATCGCTTAGAAACAACATTTTGAAGGAAACAAACAAAAACACATTCCAATATCATTCAATGTACTCATAAAAATCATATAAGTCCGATCAAACGTTTCGTATGGAAAGAACACTTCGTTTTTTTGTTGTTCCAATCAAGTGATCGAAAATTGGTTGTGTTCAGCGATGTTAGTGATCCATGAGTGATGCTCTCAGTACTTTTAAAATGAGAAATAGTCATATGTGGAGCATTTGACAAAGGGAACTTTAAAGTTACATTATCAATGAAAAACTAAAAATCGAAAAAAATTTGATTTTAACATCCAAAAATGGGACGGAGGTGAGATTTCCAAAAGTCGAATTACTTTGTAATAATAATGGATGTTGATGTTGAAGTTGAAGTTGAAGACGAAGATTGACAGATTGTTGATGATTGACATTCATTTGTTGCTTTATCAGATATACTTTTATCACTAAGAGGTTTACCTTGATGAAATCTACCTTTTTTTAATTGTATTTTAGGTAAACGAGATGCCATTAAATCTGTTGCTGTACGTCGAGCTGTTGTTGGTGTAAATTCATTTTGCTCTTGTGACGATTCATCAATTCGATGAAGAGCTGTTTCAATAGCAGAATATGTTTCATCACTAATTGGTGTCCATGGATCATTTGTATGATTCTTTTGAGTATTAGATACTAATAAATTATCTTGTTGAGTATCGGGTTGAGTATCGGGTTGAGAGTCACAAATAATAATTGGTTGATCAGATGATTGCTGTATTTGACACGTATCGAGAATATTCGGACTTTCGAAACTATTGATTGTTGTTGATGTTGATGTTGATGTTGATGTAATAACTGTAAATGTTGTATCTTGTGAAGTTTTTCCAGAATTTGGTGGACGTACTGATTCAGCGATAATAGATGAACAGTTTGGTTGTTCATGTTGAACATGTGAAGATCTGTGTAAAAATAAAACAAAGAGAATATTTGATTGTAAAAGAAAAACAAAACCATTTACTTTGTTGACGATTTTGTTTTATTAATAATTGAATGTTCAGCATCGGATGATTCTGATGCTATTCTTGAGTTTTTTGATGATTTTCGAATCTAGAAAATGTAAATAAAATTCTATTTGATAGCATGTATAAGATTTAACTTACTGGTCTTTTAGATTGTACAGATTTTGTATGTATTGATGGTGTTGATGTTGATGTTTTAATATGAACAAATTCTTGTGGATTGATATAACGTTGAATAAGATCATCTGTTATTGGTACAATCATAACTTGCTTTGGTGGCCATTGATTTGTATTAATTGTTTGTTTCTGATGATTGTCATGAGAATTTTTATTATTAATAAGTAATGATAAATGTTTTGAACAACAATTATATGATGTTAATGTTGTAAGAATAGAACAAATTAAACAAGTAACACATTTTGATTTTTGCTTATGATCATTGTCTGATGTTAAACTTTCATCATAAGTACGAGTTGATTTTTTCTTTGATTTCTTACTTTTTGATCGTGGTCTAGATGATGTTTTCTCAGTATCTGAATCCGATAGAACAATATATGTTTTATTACTAGTTGTAGGTTTTTTTGATTTCACATATGGTTCAAGGTCACTATCATCATCATCATCGTCCCATAAATTTCTTTGTCCACTACGTAGAACTTCTAATCGTCGATTGACTTGTGATGTTGTTGATGATGGTGAAGATGACCATTTTCGTTTTTCTTTAAAATGAGTTATTTGATAGAAAAGAAATTCTATTTATTTAAGATTACATACTTATTGTTTTTTTGCTCGTGCTCATTATTATTATGCTTAATTGAACAGAGAATGAAGACAAAAAAAAACTGTATAATAAATAGCATATAAAGGTTAGATTGAAATTTGAATGGATAAAATTTAACTGTACTATTATTAGCAATGATTCTCTTTGAATCTAGAGGTCGCCAACGTCTTAGATTGTCAGGGCATTTTCAAATTTTGACAGATAATTGAACTTTGTGCTTTTTATCTGCTTATGCTGATAAATTAATGTATTTTGAATGAACTGAGAAAAAGTAAAAATGAGTCTATTAGCTTTACAACAAATAAAACATTTGTTGATCCCAAATTGTACGAAAATGACATTAAGCTTGAAATAGTATTCAAAGAAGAGTGACATCAATTTTTCTTTACAAATATATAGGTATAGGCACCGCATCAGCGATTCAAAAAGTAGTAATAACTTCCGCTTACAAAAACCATGAGAATCAATAAAAGATTATTGCTTCTCCTATGTTTCTCTCTTTTTTTTTTAAATCTAACTCGATATGATAAAATATACGTATGTGTGTAAATGAATTGTCACATCCAAAAATTTTATTTCCACATTAAACCACGCACCTTGCAGAATTCTTCTCGGTATCAGATAAATAGTATTGCTTGTACATTTTATAACCATTTAACATTTTCCAGAAAATTTCAATCTTCTAGATACTGTTTAATCACTTAATACACTTGAAGCTCAAACAAAAGCAATCGACAAATCTGATTTATCAGGTTCACAAATTCAAAGAGGCAATGAACTGTATCAAGTAACATAAATTGATATGAATAATGATAATGTCATATTTCTTCTGAACATTCGACGTACGGATATCTCTAATAAGGTTCCAAGCATAAGAATTAGAACACAAATTCAGAAAGTACTCTCTCAAACGCAGAGTAAAAATATCGAGATAGAATCTTCCTGAAGACGTTGCGTTTGCTTGCGGAAAGCGGCCGCAACGGACGTGTGTGTCAGTGCGATTGTGCATGAATGACCATGTTTCCTTTACGTAAATCCATGAAAGCATGAAGAGAAGAGAAGAAAAAATCTTCAGATATCATAAAAGAAAGTGAAATTCGCCAGTGTATGAAATTATGCTGCAATGAATTTCTTTTTTTTTTAATCTTCCTTTTTCTTCCAACACTGAAGATAACAACAGACAAAAAAAGAAGTCAAACACTTGAGTGGAACGCAAAGAAGAAAGAACTGGATCAATAATAACAATCAAAAACAAATAGAAACGTCCAGAATAAATTTCAACATAGTGTATAGATTCAAGTCATTTTGTTTTCCTTATTTTTTCATTGATAAAAAGTAACACATACTACGGACAAAAATCAAGAGTCGACAACAACAGCTGTTTTTGCTTCTACTGCAACAAATGAGCATCCAAACATGACAGCCTTCCTACATTCGTATTGCTCAGAACTTCGTACTAGTGTGGCTCAATACTGGAAGCGACGAGATGAAGAAAAATGATTGTGATGATATCATCACCAAATTACGAGAAGTGGTGAGCAAGATACATCGATTCACTAATGTGAATGGATGCATCGATTTTATAACTGACATTCAACAAGCAAAAATATTTATGATTTATTTCTGGTGTGTTCGAGCAAACAATTCTTTTCATTGCCTATGATATACCACTAATAAATACAATCTACATTTTGAATAAGAACCAAGGCCTGCGAGAAGTTTGGACCAAATAGTGGCCAAAAGTACAAGGAGTCTATATAGATATTACTCCTATCTGTAAAGCTCTTCAACAAGCTGTACGAGAATGCGATGAAAACATAATGTCGATTAGTTTTGTTCCCATAGGTAGTGGAAACAACAAGCCAAACCTTGATCAATTGGATTCGTCATTTAGGTATACCCAAATAATGAAGAAAATTTTATTAACCATCGACTTCAAACAACAACATATCAATGAGGGTGTGGGTATCAGATGTGGATAAAAAGAAGACGCACATCCACCGACACACCGCCATCAAACCCACATTCGCAACCACACTCATTTCCCACACCAACACCCTACAATCATCACGAGGACTACAGTAATGAAACAAATTCTCCTGGTCGCAAATATTGGCATGGATATGTGTACAATATAGATAATGCCATTAGTTTCCGTGGTTATCGACTGATTCAAAAACGGCGTTTCAGTGATCTAGAAAACAGACAGCGTTATGCGAACTATACATACCAGCAAACAAATCAAGCAAAAACATCAAATAATGCTGAAAATGCACGACAATGTGTATTTGAACGAGTGTCAAAATCGCAAAGTAAACGTGTACCACCGGTTAGATTAAAGTTTGTTTATGGTAAACCTGTCTTTGTTTTTGATGACACGAGTATCGACAAAGAAACAGATACGAATAATGAACCTGAACAAGAACCAGAGCTAAATACAACTGACAATGAATAAAAGACTTAATTCCTCATTATAATGATAATAGATTTTTAATTGAAAATAAATATTTATTCAAACTAAATAAATATAGTTTTTTGAAAATGTTTCTTGATATTTTATCACTATTAAAAATGTAAACTAACAGATTTCGATTATGTCTACCAGAATAATAATAGCAAGGATGAGACCATCGATATTTAGAGAAAAAATTTAATAACAATCATTAATTTCTTTTTTGCAACAACCAATATTTATAAAGAAATTTTCAAGATCATAATACATTTATAGTTTCATAATATATCATTATTTCGGGAAAAAGTCTCTGTTGATTTTCGTCATTAGAAGAGAAAGAAAGTTCATTATGAAAAGTTGCTTTTCTCTATAATAAAAATAGAACTTATTCATCATTAACAGTACGATCAAAGAGTCAAGTATAGAATGAGAAGAAAAAAAATCTTTCTTTTCTTTCCTTAACAAATAAGCAATGTAATTGCACAATATGAATTACGAAATAATATAAGAAGGACTACAATATTTTGAAATATTTAGTGATTGGCTTGTTTTACGTGGGGATACTTCGTCTGAGAACTGGAGGGATGACAAAATGGGTATTTGTTTGCTGTAGTGAAGCCGGGTCGGTGGGCACGGAAGTCGCTATCCGCTAAGGAGTGTGTAACAACTCACCCGTCGAATGGCCTGATACTCTGTCATGCACTTAGAATCCCCATACGCCATCCAATCACATTTTTTTGTTTAAAAAAATCTTAACGATTATATAACAGTTATTCCAGAATAAATAGCTCTTGTAAATTTGTATCAATATCATAGTCAGTTTAAAAGAATTCGGTGTGCATTTTGTGCGCCTTAGAATATAATATGGAACGATAATATAAATTTTATTGATATTAAATTATCCTGTAAGGAATATCGTCATGCATCTATCGATATTCTCTTCAAACATAATTGATTCTTTGAAAACAACTTCGTTATAAAGTACGTTGTTTTATCATGAGCGTGGATTTCAGAGTGAGTTAAACAGAGATGATCCACACCCACACACACTTACGCCTCACACTTCACGCCCTCATCCTTATGGTATCTATTGTAAATAAAAGACCTTCATGTTATTGTTTATGCTTCCATAAAGAAAGTTTTTCTTTGTCGAATAAAGGATCATTCGACAAGCCAATAGAAAAGAGTAAGAAGAAAAAAAAGTTTTTGGATTCATATGATAGATTATTCTTTCTGTTTTAATGTGACCTTTGGAATAAAAAGAGTAATTGAATTGTACATAGAAATAATTCATTTAAGTAATGAGAGATAAGAATAATGGTTGAATACACTGAAAACGATGACCTTATATACGATTGGAGAATGTAAGGTTATTCGGAAAGAAAATTCAAACTTGGTGGTTTTTCTGATTCATATGTAGATGAATATGTCTGTCAATTAGTTATTTAACCTGCGATCAAAAGAAAACTAGACTGCCATTCGAGCTTCGGTCGCGTAGAAAAAAAGCGGCTAACTGCACGATTACGAACAATGTAAAAACACAATCTTATACGACATGTACTATTTGTAAAGCATAGACTCGTGTAGAGGAAGTCGTAATTCATTTCAATCGTGTTCATCTGTCTTAGCTAAGCTGATTAGGATGTGGGTACATGGAGATGAGTAAAGAGAAGACACATCTAGACCTAGAGCCATCAACAGCCATATGAGCAATAGCTCAATAAATATCGAAAGAACACATATGAATCTATATATGGACAATGACATTGAAACAGAAAGTGATACCGGGTGGGGCATAACTCAGGTAACACATTTTTTTTTTGATTTCTTTCTTATAGATCGTCAGTCAGGTCTCATATTTATACCATACATAGTAGATGATATAAGTGAAAGATACAGCATTTGAACGATATCTGAATGTAGTAATTTGTCCAAAAGTGTACAAATACAGGATAACCAAAAATAAGGAAACACGTCTGATGTGAGCTCTAGCAACATTTTATTAAAGCAACAGCACAACAAAATGAATCAGCCGATAAAAGAGATGGCTATTTGTGTTGTTATCTGACAGATGCCACCACTAGCAGATATATAAGTGCTACTAGAGGAAACAGTAATATACGTTATGAGAGTAAAAACTATAGCTCTCAAGCATGTTCCCATTTTTAAGGGTTGTCCTGTATTTGTACACTTTTGGACAAATTACTACATTCAGATGTTGTCCATATACTGCATCTTTCACTTATATCACCTACTATGTATGGTATAAATATGAGACCTGACAGACGATCTATAAGAAAGAAATTAAAAAAAAACTATGTTACCTGATTTATGATCCACCCAGTATTAGTGAAGAATAGGATTCGAGAGAAGTCTAAGTCGGAAGGTAATTCTATAATTTTTGTCAGCACTGTATATTTCGAAATTGCCTTTAAAATATTACCATGATATTTGACTATAAAATTAAAAAGTCAACTAAGATTGAGCTATTATTATTGACTCTACAATTCTAAGGTCAACCTCTTTTTCATATGGATTCATCAAGTGTTTGAGAATGTGGATATCCTTGTTGTCCACTCTACATTCATACTTATAATATTTGCATAGTGAAATAAAGAGTTGATATTGTCCTCCATTGTGATATCGATTTTAGTGACGATGCTATTTATTACTAGGTTTTGCATCGATCATCATTGAGAAAAAAAATATATACATATAATATAATATAAACTACTGGAGTAATAGAGAGTAACTTATAATTATTAAAAGATAGATTGATGGTTTCTTTCATAAAAGCAAGATCATGTACATAATTATTCAATATAATCATAAAAATTTGTTCATGAATAAATAATAAATAAAGACGTCACTAATGTAAGACATTGTTGAATAAAGAAAACAATATGCAATGTGTAAGAACTTTTAATTAATCAAACAATTGTTCCAATTTAGTTAAAAAAAATGATTATGAGTATCCGTTATTATTTATAGTACTTGTTCAACAATGTGTCTATGTTTTTACAACATCACCATTTACAAGAGATGCATCTAATTTCATAGTGAACATAAATTAGAAAAAACTCAAATATTCCAACGACTAACAAAACCTCTGTTCGTTCAATATTTATACGTTACTTTTTACTAAATTCTATTTTATATTTCATATTCACATATACACATATCTCATATATTTTGAAAAGCTTTAGAACGACTATTATTTACTAATCTTCTCATGAGTATTTTCATTTCGTAATACATGTCTCAATCAGAAAAAGTAATTAACAATGAGATTGTCATTGTTAATGAAGGAGGAGAGTTAGGAAAGAACATTTTGCCGAATACAAAGAAAAGTAATGAAGCATTAGATCAAATTTTCGAAAAAATAATTTAGTGGAAATACACGTCATGTTTTGAAAATTTTATATTTTATTCAAGATTCAGCCCATGAGCGTCCATTGTAATATTGAAGTAACCAGACCTAGCACATTGAGATCTCTGTTTCGTAGTAGTTAAAATCTGTATTATAAACTATCATGTTAAATAAGAATACCAACATATGAGATAAGCAATTTCTTTATCATAAATTCCAAAACTATCGCTTAATATGACAATAAATATTATAAAACTAATTTTTACTTAGTTAAAAGACTTCATTCATTTAACATTCTAAAGTAAATTGATATAAATTCAAAATATAGAACAAACATAATCTTCTTGTATAGAAAAATTAAATCGATTGTATTAGTAAAGAAAAACTAGTCTTTCGTTATATTTTCTATGATACATGAATAAGGTCAGGAAAATTTTCACATTCTTTGGATGCAAAAGTAAAAATTCTTTGATTCATAGAAAAATATTCTTCAAAGAATAGGACTTTGTTTTATTTTTGAAAAAGAAAAAGAAATCAGCAAGAATACATAAAAATAATAATAATGTTTGAAATTGATACTCAAAATTGATGTTTTCATTAACAATAATGTATACACTAAAATAGTATAATCACTATAATTTATTTTTTTGGTGCGATTAATCCTTCTAATTGAGCCTGAAAATAAAAAATAAAAATAAAATTATCTTCATGCTTAATATTTTTTTTCAGACTTTGAGTTGTTGATTTGTTTTTTTTAAAAAATTAATTTCTTCCATATGTTTCTTTTCTTCAACTTGTCGTTGTTCATTTAATTTCTTTTCAGCTGCTTCAGCATTAGCTTTTGTTTCTTTAAGTTGTCGTTCAAGATCACGTTTATCTTCTTCAAGTTGTATTAACTAAAAAGAGTAATTTCAATGAGAGATCTTGATAATTTCATTACGAACTTTTCGTTCTAATTCAGATTTTCCTTGTTCAGCCATCAATGCTTTACGCATACCAAATGCTACACTACTTTCATAGAGTGTCTGATATGCACGTAAAGTCATTTGTAATTCATCACGTACACGC